TTGTGATCATCATTCCTTGTCTTATTTTTAATTGTAAGGGTATGCATGCTCCAATAATTCTTATTTATTTTTCTTTTTTGATTTTAAGAAGACAGTCGTTTCTTTTCTTCACTGAATGAATGAATGAACCAGTGCCCACCCACTCTGTCCCAAACCGTGCTTGCAACAAAATTTTTCACCTCTTCATTCAGTTCATGGTGTGATGGGTTGAATTGTGTGTGTGTTCTGTCCCACTGAGTCCGACTGATAGCTGACCCTCCAGTAGGTTTTTAGAGGCTATAAATCGCAGGGGAGGAGACTGATCATTTTGCTCCTGGGGAGCGGCTTGTGGATTGAAACTGCGTGTTTTTGGGTTGACGGCACAAATTTTTGCCCACTAGGCCACCAGAGCTTCCTGGTGTGAATTACATCCCTCCTCAAAATACGTCAGAATTCTGACTTCTATACTTGTGGATGTAATGAACAGCTATTTCCATTCATAAAATAATCTAAAGTTAATGAGCCTATGCTAGTGAAGGGTGTATTCTAAATAGGAACATTTCTGAATGACGATAAAGGATTAGACACAGAGACAAAGCCCCACAAATGTGGGAAGGTAAAATCCAAGTGGAGATTACCAAGGACGTGAGAAATACTGGGTCTACAAAGGCCAAGATAAGGGTCCACCCCAGAGCTGAGAGAAAAAGACCTCTCCTAAAACTCAAACTGATGGCTGTTGAGTTAAAACTGACTCATAGCTGAGCATCCAGTGGGTTTCAGAGGCTGTAAATTGCCTGGGAGGAGACTGTTCACCTTCCTCCCATGGAGCATCTGGAGGATTTGAAGGACCAGAGAGGTGTGGCCTCTGGGGTAGCAGCTCAGCTTCCTACAGACTATGGCCCCAGAGCTCCCTAAATTCAGACTTTCTAGCAAATATGATTCTGCAATGTGAGAAAACTCAATTTCTGTTCTTTAAAGGGACCTATTTGGGTTGCAGCAGCACTAGATAACTAAGATGAGGTTAAAAGCAGAGTAGTGACACTCTAGTATCTGTGTGAAACAAGCTTCAACAGCCTGCTGTTCTCCCCCAACCCCTCTCTCTCCTACACTCTGGGTTTCTTCCTGAGTCTTCCTGTCTCTCCCCCATGTCCTGGTTCAGGAGCAGCCTCCCAGTCAGGGAAGGGGGTTCTGGCCCCCCTTACCATCTGCTGGAGACAAGTAGCTGAGGCTTCACCACCTGCAGGGCCCTCAGCTCCACGCTGACCTCTTCATTCAGATGGATCTGGTCCAGCCTAAAAGGAAAAGGGGAGCCTGGTTGTCTGGGGATCCCCCTTTTGACCCTGAGATCCTCATGGCTCAGAATCTTGGCATCTCTTCCTGCAGGTGGATCCTTTAGAAACCAGGCTCCAGGAGAGGGATTAGAGGGAGGAGGTGGATAAAGGAGTACTCTTGGGTCAACCACAATGGAAGGGAATAGGATTGGGGAGGAGTTCTATGGAGGACTCTCAAACTGGGATGAGTCTGCATTTGTTGAGATGAGGGGGCTAGGCCATTGGATGTAGGTCGTCTGCGACCACACAGCACAATTCGTGGAATTGATAAGGAGCCAGGTTGACGATGCATTTTTCTACCCCTTTCCTTTCCCTGCTTAATTCCACAGCAACCCGTCTATACTCCACCCTCCCACCGTCCACTCCTGCCTTTTGCCCAGAAGGGGTCCCAGAGGCCTCACCACAGGCGCTTGAGTTGGCAGTTGGGATGGTGCAGCCCTTTGCAGAGGAGCCTCACACCCTGGCTGCCCACGTCGTTCTGTTGCAGGTCGAGCTCTGTCAGGGTTGGGGTAGTGCTGAGCACAGAGGCCAGGGCCTGGCAGCAGTCGGATGTGAGGCCACAGCTGACCAGCCTACAGGAGAGAGGCACATGTGTCCCTGGCCATTGTCCCAAGAGTTGCCTCTTCCAGATCTGGGCACTGGTCTCTGCTCTAGTAGGTGTGCCCCTTAGGGGCTCTGGAGTAACTTTAACAGAAGGTGAGGACCTGCCTGGTTTGCACTAACTTGGGAAATTCTCATCTTTTTTTCCTGCAACCAACAAGCTTTCCTTTACTGATGACAGCTCCCTTTCTCCTTCCATGTGATTTTACATGAATCCTGCCCATCCACCAGGCCAGCCTTGTATAATTCTTTTCTCCTCTGTTCCACCTGTATACTTGAGTTAACCACATAGGGCAAAAAGATCCTACAGATGCTCAGAACTGCAGTCTACTGAGCAGCAGACAGAAATACACAATAGTAAGTCAGTTTTAAATCTCTTCTGATCAAAACCCTTCCAAATTTCCCTGTTTCACTCAGGATCGTTAACCTGCCCAACAGGGCCCAGGGGTGACCTGGGTCCTGGTCATCTCTGCTCTCTTCTCACATGTCTCTTAGCCCCATCCACATTGCCCCATGCCCGAAGGCTTTCACATCTGGTAGTTCTTCTGTCTGGAACATTCTTCTTACCAAAGATCTTACGCCTCGTTCCCTCACCATCTCCAGGTCTTTGTGTAAAAGTCACTGTGGTAAAATCTTGCCCCAACACCTCTTTTCTTTCTTTTTTCTTTTTTTTTTATAATACTGGTTTATTTAAAAAATTCGAATACTGGATCTTTCCCATTTCCTTCACCATTCCCACCCATTAAATTGTGTGACCCTATGATTAATCACCCCCCCATCTGCACCCCTCTGCTTCCACCCCACCCTTTGGATCCTCATACTCATTCTACAATAGTGATTTTACACAGTATTTTATACAGTATTGTCCTTATGGGACTGAGTTAGTTCAACACCTGTTTTAAAATTGCACCCCTTGTTCACAGCCTCCCTACTGATCCTTTCCATTTGCTTTTTAAAAAACATGGTTTATTATTATTATTATTATTAATTTTAATGAAAATTTACAGAGATTTTTGATTTCCAGTCATTCATTGTTGCACTTTTCTCCCTGCCCACCCCTCCCCTCCAGTTCATTCTTCTCTTTGAAAGGAAAAATTCTTACATTGTTATATAATCCCTCCTCCCAAGTCCATTCCACTATGCAGCCTTCGTTCTGGACTCGTGTCATGACTATTTGCTTTTTTCAATAGCCTGTATTATTGTTGTTGTTGATTGTCTTCGAGTCGAGCATGATTCATAGCGATCCTATGAACAAAAGGCCTGAAGCCCCTCTATAACTATCGACATTTATCAAAGTTCATAGAGTTTCCGGAAGCATGTTGTTTAGGCAGTGGATGCCACGTTACACACATTATATTTTACTTATTTGGTTGACTTCATGTCTCACCCACCTCCAGATGCCAACTCTGTACCCACTCAATACCATTGAGTCAATTCAGATTCAGGTTTCTGAGGCTTTGATTATTAATGGGAAGAAACTGCCTTGTCTTCCTCCCAAGGCGTGGCTGGTGGATTCTACCTTTTGGGCATCAGAACAACATGTAAACCGTGAGGAGTTTTACCTGTTTTCAAATTGTACCATCAAGTGCCTAGGACAAGGTTTGGCACAAAACAAAACAAAACAAAACAAAACACCCAACCTAGCAGTTGCTCCAGAATGGGTTCCGACTCATGGTGACAGCATGCACAGCAGGCATATTGGAGAGGAACTGTCCTCTATAGAGTTTTTAATGTTTGATTTTTCAGCGGGAGATGATCAGCCTATTTTGAGGAGCCTATTTGTGGTCTGAGAACTGCCAACATTTTGACTGGCAATTAAGCCAAGTACTTAATTTGGCGCATTAAAAAAATCCCCAACGGAACCCCATGTACTATAAGGCAGAGTTGTTCCAGAGGTTTTATTGGTTGCAAGCTTCATAGAAGCAGATTGCCAGGCCTTGTTTCCTTGTTGCTGGGTGGGTTCAAACATTCTGGGTAGCAGCCAAATGTAAACTACTTCCAGCATTCAGGGACCTTATCTGGCTCGCAATAGGTAAACTTAGCAAATGTGATGAATGGGTGAATGAAATAGTCTCTAAAGAGGGAAAAGTCAGGTGCAATTGGAGGTAGAGGAATGAGTGATTAATTTTGACAAGGTGAAGGAGTGGGAGCAGAAGTATGAGATGTGCCAAGATGGGAGTGGAAAGAGAGGGAATTCCAGACTGGCAGAGTGGAGGTGAAATCACAACATGCGTTTAGCATGGCAATGCTGGCAAAAAGGCTGTCTGGAGGAGGTAAAGTTTGAAAGTAAAGCTGGAAAAAAAATATCAAGATCACAGATGATCTTGAATGTTTGATGTCTGAATCTTATTCAGGTGACAGCAAGGAGATAGTGACAGTTCTGGAGGGAGTGCTGGTATGATTTTTGAGTTGTTTTCAAAAGCTCCCTGACAGCACATGAAGGATGATCGGATGGGGTCAGGCAGGAGTATGAAGGGTCCAAGTGAGAAAGTATGAGAGCCTAGGTTAGAGTACCAGCTGTAGAGAGATAGATGCTTCAGGTATATGCAACCAGATGTGGGGGCCAGGAAGCTCTTTAGATTGGATTAAGGGATTGATGCCACTTAAGAGAGAGTGGATGACGTAACACAGAGCAAGGTTCACATCTGTAGTTCACAGGGTAGCTATGAGTGGTAGTCGATGACATCAAACAACAATAACAACAACATGAGAGAATGGAAGTAAGAGGAGGCAGAATCTTCTTCGTGGGCTTTGAGTCAGTGCTGTGACATAGGACCACATGCTCAGAGGGCTCTGAGTTTAATGCCCTGTAGTTTCCATCTTGAAATTCTTAATTTTATATTCTAGTTTATGCTTTATATGTGAATTGACAATGGTGCCTGAGTTGGGGCCATGGGGCCATGGCTCATGTGAGAGCCCTTTTCCTTCTATCTCTCTGCTTTTCCAAGAAGAGATTTTGGTAAGCAGTACAACTAGCTACAGATGACACTCCCAGATCTCCTGTTCCAGGAGGGGCCGTGGCTGCCTGCTCTCTCCTCTGACATGGTGAGACACTGCCTACTCTTCCTCTTCCCATCCTTGTTCATCACCTGGTCTGCACTTTGTCGTAAGTGGTTTGGGAAGGTAGGGACTAGGTGTGTATGCCCAGTGACATCTTGAGGTGGTGCACAGTAGAATATGTTCCTGCCCTGGGCTGGCAGCACCATGATGCCGGGGCAAGCCTCTCACGACTTAGACCCAAGTACTTAGTGTGTTCTGGCAATACTCTTTATGCCCCTGTCTGCTGTGGGTTGGGTAGTAGCCCCATGGAAAGAATAAACGAGTCATTTCATTTACGAGTCATTAATTTTCTTATAGAGGAAAACTGGGTCATGTGGAGAAGGTGTGTTGACCTTGAATGATGAGTATGTTCTCCAGGGCAGAGGTGGAGGGAGGTGCATTCCAGGTTGGAATGACTCCTTCACTCCCACTGGTGCATAGCACATGAATCCAGTGGTTGTCAGAAGGGGAAGCTCGGCATATCTTGGGCCAGATGTGCATGTTGAATTATGGGGCAGGATACCTAGATGTCTTTGAAAGCCTACCCTGTGATTGGAATCACAACAGAAGGTCCTGGGCAGAATGAGAGAAAAAAATATGGATCAAAATGAAAAATTATAAAAAAGACAAGACTTACTGGCTTGATAGAGACTGGTGGAGACCCCAGTTTCTGTCAAACCAGTAAGTTTGTTCTTTAGAGGACACTCTTCAAACCTGGGACTGAACTCCTCCCTGTAGCTCAACTTTTCAGCCAGACACCAGGACCAAGGAGGGCATCACAACAGCCAACCACAAAAGACCAAAAGACATCACTTTTCCAATACCGAAGTTCAGAAATCAGGAAGGGACAGAAAAAAAGGGAGAATGGAAATGTAAACAAAGAGGAGGAAGTGGGAACAGTGGTGTATTACATTGTGGAGATTGTCATCAATGTCATGAAACAAAAATCTGTATGAATTGTTGAACAGGAAGTGAATTTGGTTTGAAAACTTTCACTCAAACCACAATAAAAATATTTTTTAAAAGTCATTAAAAAATCACGATAAGTTTGCAGAACTGTTTTTGTTAAGTGCTATCAAGTCACCTATGACTCATGTTGTTGTTAGATGACATCAAGTCGAGTACAACTCAGTGACCCTATGAACAGCCAACCTGAACTCTGCTCAATCTTGTGCCTTTTTCACAATCTCTAAAACACTCAAATCCATTGCTGAAGTCCCTGTGTCAATCTATCTCTTTGAAGGTCTTTTCCTTTGCTGACCCTCCATCTTTCCAAGCATGATTTCTTTCTCCAATGAATAACTTCACCTAGTTACATGTTCAGAGCATGAAAGATGAAGCTTCATCACTTTTGCCTCCAAGGATGCTTCCGGCTGCACCCTCTCCAAGACATATCTGCTTATTCTCTTTATGTTGTTGTTGTTGTTATGTGCCGTCGAGTCGCTTGCGACTCATAGCGACCCTATGTACAACAGCCCTAAACTCCGTTCTGTCCTGTGCTAATCACACTGTCTCCGACACTCCCATCCCAATTATCCCAGTCACTGAATCAATCCACCTCATAGAGGGCCTTCCTCTCCTGCGCTGT